CGCTTTTTATCGATTTTGGCACCTTTTTACTTCACTTTGGTTAATGTCATAAATTAATTTAAACTTTATTGTAAAATCCTTAAATTTTTTTTGAAGTGCTCGTTCTTGAACTGTCTAACCATAAAACTTATTTCAGCATCCATTGATGCTGTATGACATGTATTCGATAAACTCCTAAATTCGAATAGTAAAAAAATAAGAAAGGAAGGAATAGTAAGAAAAGCGAAAAATTAGAATTCACGCTAATCTCAAATTTCCAGTAATAAAACAAAACTCTTAAAGTTCAAAAATTCTAAGTTCTTTGTAGAAGTGTATTGACCTTGTATAGTATTAAATTCGATACTTATCAATCACTTATGTAAGATTTTAAGTTTTTAAGGTTGCAGTGTCAAACAAATTTATTAAAATATATACAAGTATAATCATGTGACTATGAATGATTAAAAGTGTAACAAATATGGATGTTTCATATTAAAACAGACAGCCTATTCAATAAAGGAAAAACTATTTGAAAGATAAATTAACATCCAACAATTTCTACTGCTAAATATCTGTATAATTCTTATTTATTTTTTGATTACAGTATAATAAAGCTTATTTTGTTATACTATTCCAAGGAATTAATTTAATAATGTCTAAACAGTTAATATAAATAAAACTGTAATTTAAAACTTTTGGAGAAAATTGTATTTTAACTAAATAGTGGTTTTGGTAAATTTTGAATATGATTATTAAATAATTCAATATTGAAATTAATTGCCAGAATCGAAAAAAATACAGTTATTCCTGTCATGTAATGCACAAATAATTCACTTAAGTGACAGTCATCTATCTTTTTCACATCAGCATAATGAGAGAAATACTCTGCTTTTAGATGATTAATGATCTCATGAGTTTCTGCTTCAAACCGTTCCAATTTATCTTTGCCATTTTCATGCATCGAATCTCCAACGATTGTGAATTTACCTTTTTTGAAACTGGAAGCTTTGTTTAAACTGGAAGCTTTGTGGTATAGATCTTTATATTCTTTTTTATTTGCAATTTTTTTATTCCAAATAAAAAGATAATGGATGTATTTTTCGAAAGAGACTTCAATAACAGAAAATTGTTTAGTAGAATCTAAAGTTTTAACATTAAATCCATTTGTTTTCAATGAAGTTAATAGATTATTACTGTACATGATCAATTGTTCAAGAGCGTTCAGAAGTTTGAAGAAATTCGTTAGCTTTATATACTTAGCGTTCCCAATTAGTGCGTGATATAAAAAGGAAATTTTATTTTTTGTACATATGAAAATTATTTATTTCTCTTCATAATCACTATTTTGGTTTAATAATACAAGAATTAACTCATTATTGTTATTTAAGTATAAAATTTAATTGATACTGTAATTTCGGTCGATTTGTTTAATTGATTAATTGAATCAAAAATTACTTTATCAATTTTATGTTTACAATTCCCATCGAGAAGATTTCCATATAGCTAAGAAGAGAATCAGTATGATGTGACGAGGTTGTTAAATGTGATTTATAAAGTCATCTGATCTCGCACTAATGAACGCTTTGTCAATTTTTGACAAGCTACTCAATTGTGGCGCTTCGAGATTTAATTCTTTCAATTGAAATAATTGTAATTTTTGCAAAGGATTTAAAATTAAGTGAATTTTAGGATACATATATTTAATGATGCAAGAATATTCGAATAACCAAATTGACAGTTTTTTGTATTTTTTTTGAGCAAAATGCACTTTAATTGCTAAGATGAGAATCATCAATATATTTGCACAAGATGCATATATGAATGCATAAGATGCAAAATGAATGAAGAAGATATTTTCCCAACAAAAATTAGCAAAATATGTGATCGCGTTTTTTTGAGGAAGCATGACATTAAGCAGCATAGCAAAGCAAAACATAATATATAAAGGACAAAATAGGTGATTGTTAATTTTATTTAATCATATATATGTATTTTACTAAAATAATCTGCTAGGTGACATCAGAACCAAACTGCGGTAGTCTATTACTTGACAAGTTGCCTTTTTCTTCTTGATCTCATTTCTTTTAACACCTCTATGAAAAATTTCTAAAATTTAATATAAAATAATTCAAATTCCATAAAAATTTTAAGATTTCAGAAAGCTTTCAATAAAAAATTCTTTATTTCTTTGAGCTTTATCCTTGAGTGTAGAACTTTCCCTTTTAGAAATTTGGTAAAAAATATTTAATGCTTTGTCGTATAGGTTCATAAGTTTGAAATTGCCAAGATGTAGTTATGTTTTAGAAAATAATATTTTTACAAAATTCCTTAAATATTTAATACCCTCCAGGAATTCTCATTAGATCTCTCAAAATTTCATAATGCCATAATTGAGCTCAACTATTTAGCTGTCTTATGCTAAACTTTAGCAGGTCAAATGAGAATGAAGGGACAAAATTTTAAAGTCATTTAATCATACCGTACAAATTAAGCAAGCGACTGACCAAATAACATTTACATTCCTAACGCTAAGCCTTAAAAATTGAAGAGTCCTCCCAGGACCGTTAAAGTTAACTTCGCCACAATACCCACATTCACCTTATAATCACAAAAAATTAATCTTTTATTTACTGGCAACAGTTCTTAAAGTGCGCTTTTTTTCGATTTGCTTGTAATTCTTTTAACCGTTCTTATAAATTTTCTTATATTGTTTTACTGATTGTGATGCGTTTTTTAATTGACTACATAATAAAAAATTACAAGTAAAAAAATGATACGAGTAGTGTGAAAACCTGCAACTCACTATAAAATAAATTTCGACATTTTTTTTCTTTTTAATTTTGTTACTAAATATGCCCATGTATTCTTTAAGGTATTCTGTTAGGTTATTTATCGTTATATTATTATCACTATTAATCAATTCATGTAATGTATATCAACGATTAATTTTTCAGAGAAGCTTTACCGGTAAATAATATTTAGGCAAGTCAAGATTTCGTTGAAATTAATCAAAATTATTAACATTCTCATAAGAGGAAAGTAAAAATTGTTTTTGCATGATATATGAAAAGAATAATGCATCTCTGAATAAGAAATTTTGATTTATTGTGCTTTTCAACTTACTGATCAATTAAAAATTCCCTAAATTTAAACTTTTTTGCAAATGAATTACTTACAAGTAAAAATTCCAAAATTTCTCCTTTATTTTTGCTTCTCTGATACTACATCTAGTAATACTCAAAAGCTAGTTTTCTGTATAGCCAAATAATAATGGAATCTCGGGCTTGTTTTCGGATCAAAATATATAAAATTGAAATATATAACTTTTTTTACTGCCACAAATAGAACTGGGTATAGTATTAAATATAATTTTTAGCAAATCACAGATTTATCTTCTTAAAGGATTAAGCGGATTAACCATCTTAGTTTTCCCTCGCGAAAATATTAAGATTACACAAAATCATTTTTACTGAATCGGAAGGATTAGTAAATGCGAATAAAATAGTCGATATTAAAGACGCTGTTAAATATTGATGAAAAAAAACAATGAAATTTATTAGGATACGTATACAAATTTCTGCATATAAAATTTTTTTTTAGTAATCTTATATAACTTTAATAGAAAATAAAAATAAAAATTTGAACAACAATAATTTTAAAGTTGCTTTTGTATTAAAAACTTCACTATTATTAAAGGAATTCAAGGAATATATATGAGATAAATACACACTCTAACTTTCCATAATACTAAAAAAAAATCGTTTAAAATAGTATATGAACATTTAAGCAATGGGATTAGTGTATGTCCTGATAATTTCTTGTTATTTTCATTGGAGGTAATTTCGCTATTAGCTGTTGCCTTTTCATTTTGACGTTGTTCAATTGCTTCATCGATATTCCCTTCAGAAAAAGCATAGCCAAACATTTGAGAAAAAGATTCAATATCAACATCGTTTGAGAAAAAATCCCTTTCTGAATCTTCATCGCGGATAGCAAGAGTTACTAAAGTTTTGTGAAGAATTTCAATATCAGAAGTCATTTTTTTTAAAAAACAGTGAATAGATAATAAATAATTTAGTATATTAACAAGTTGAGTTATAAATGAATTATAAGTAACTGTTTTCTTTGATAAGAATTGAGCAAAGGGTAAAGAAAAAACCAGTATTATTTGTTTACCGGATAAATATTGTTATATATCGATATATTTAGGCTTTCATGTGCAGTTTATTTATTTGGTGGGAATGATTGTTAAACAATTTTTATTTGTATTTTCATAAATATAAAAAAAATACATAAGCTTAAATACTCTTTCTAAAAACAGAATTTTACGAAGTGGATCGATACCGCAAGTTAATTTTCGGCTGAGTTTTATTTGATTAGCAATGAAATGCCTAATTTTCAAGAAAAATTTTTTGATAAATGACTAACACGTTCGATTTACGGAGCTCATATTTAATGTTTAATAAATACTTTTTTTGGCAATGACTAACGCTAAGTTATGGAGTTGGCGTCTGAATTTATTCATATCGATATTGGGAAATACTTTTTTGATAAACGAGATTGATATAGTGATGTGACCCGAATGGATTTCGGGTCACATCACTAGATTGATAAGCTAACATATTCGATTTACGAGTTAGATTTAATGTTTAATATGATACTATTTCGTTGAGTCAGTTTTAATGCAACTATTGGAGTTTTGGGAAAAAAATTTTTGAGTCCGGATTTGGATTAGCTTGGCCTGTTAATGTTCAGAGTAGTTCACGTTGAATATTTTTTATAAATCAATATTTTTGTTTAACACTGAAGTTCCGGGCAATATTTAAGCATACCAAAACATGTATATAGGTGCTGGTGAATGTAGTGAAACTGGCGCGGATGTGTCCACCTCGCAGAATATACAACATTAAAGCAGTGTAATTTTACATGGTATAGAAATCAACTTCCCTAAAACAATGTTGGAAATATAAAAAATTTATAACGATAATTAATAATCGATTCTTATTAAAAACTATTTGTTATGTAGGTTCCTAACATATAAATGGGCATACAATTGGGTGAGTACACGCAAAACCATGCTTAGAGTATATATAATCTATATACTCTAAGCATGGTTTTGCTGTGTACTCACGATTACATCCATTAGACTTTATTTTTATTTAATGAATTCCTATTTAAATTTTAGAATTACTGATTCCCAGTGTAATACGTATATGTTATTGTCCACGAAATGGACAATAACCAAAAATCCAACCCAGATCAGATGATCGGATAATGACGGAATGGCACACTGGCTGCGAAGCAGCCAGTGTGCCATTCCGTCATTATCCGATCATCTGATCTGGGTTGGATTTTTGGTTATGTCCGCTTCGCGGATAATAACTGATTTATTCCCAGGTTCTAATTATACTTCTAAAAGTGACGTAATTCATACAATTTAAACTTTATATAAAAAGAATTTGATCTAAAAAAAAAAGGTTCTTCTTAAATCAAAAAAAACTTTCATAATCTCATGTCCTAACCCAAGATGAATCGCATGTCTCGACCCAAGATGAATCTCAAGTCCCGACCCAAGAATCTCAAGTCCCGACCCAAGATGAACCCCAAGTCTCAACTGAAGATAAGCCTCAAGCTCCAATACAAGAAAAACCACAAATTCCAATACAACATAAAGGTATCCGGGTTAAAAAAAGAACACGAAGATTGACTGAAGAGGAAATTCAATTAAAATTAACAAGACCATTTCGTTCACCATTAC